AGGGGGGTCGGAAAACCCTGATTCCAAACCAATGGTGCACATGGGCTCCAGTATCCTGAAGGAACAAATGGCGTACGAACCAATCGTTGATCGCCGACTATCATGGGACTGCATCTACTCACGATGATCCACTGCCTTGTGAATCAGATCTTTCGGTCAAAGGCTGCGGTTGTGGTCCCCTAAGAAAACCACCTGCTTCAGTTCGGGCATCTGGGCAGTATCACAGCCCACACACACAAATCAAACAAGATTTGTGTGGCGCATATTTATCTGGTGCTTCCTTGTACCAATATTTATGTGTTCAAATAAATAAAATTACTGCAACTGAGTACCGATCTAATTCGTGTTCCTAGGAATTCTTTTATTATGGAGTACAATTATAATGCATGTATTACAGCTGATTTATTATTTCATTGTAGCTCGACCATATTGAAGTTAATCTGTATAATATAGTCGTTTTCTCAAAGATATTCTTACCATCTCTCACTTTTTCAGTTGTTAATTATTGTACTTTACTATCGGGAACTAAATTCTTGGTGCTGAAGTGTAACATTAATTTTACCGACTTTTAATCAAACTGTAATGCCCTGAGGATTGTGTTTTAGATTTTATCAAGTTACAGAAACTTCAAAATATCAAAAACATTTATTTAACGTGAAAATCTAATTGTCATAGGAACCGCTCTGTCTGGTGTATTTGCATGTAACAGCAAGAAAATAATTTCGAGTACAAATAATTTTTAATCTCCGGAAAAAAGTGGCTCAAGATCTGCTTTCATAGAGTGTTGAAAATAAATAGTTGACATAGTTTACAGTTAGAGCCATTTGTCCCCTTATTTCACACAAATCTTAAACACACTGATTTTTGTAAGCAGAAATCTCTTGTTCATCTTCCTACTCTTTAATCGAAATTCTCAATTTCCTTTTGTTGGTTATGTTTTATTTACGGTAAGAAAGTACAGCACAACTTGCTGAAACAAGATGTTTTTTCTAGCTTCCGAATAGTCTCTAAAGTCACCGGTAGTGGTTTGCAGTTATTGACTCAGGACAGGTTTTAAAAAAAGGAACAGAGAGAACTCTTGGTCTATTTTTGCGCGATTATTTAAATAATTTTGCGCAAGTTTACTGTCAACTTGGCAAATATATCTTATCGTTCACTCCCTGAGTGTCTAGTAACATTAAAGATATTGTTAACTGGACCTATTATACTAGTTTATCAACTGTTCTTACCAGAAAAAGTTGGAGTATTAATCGAGTTATCGGTCGAAAAGTTTCTCCAGGCAACAGATCTACTTCGTCATCACTTACGTTTATCTGAACTGTTTCCAGAACGTTATCGATGAACAAAGTTGAAGAGGAATAGTGAGATTGGGCAACCCTGTCTAATTCAACTGCCTGAATGAATGTATGCCCTCACTATGCCTGAGGTGTTTGTATATATGGTTTTCAAGATGTTAATTGACTTCTCAGGCGCACCTTTCAATGGATACTCCCAGAGAACAGTTCTGTCCAAATAATCGAGGACGGTCTTAATGTCAAGAAATACGACGATTGTTGGTCTGTTATAAGTATGACGGTGTTGTAACATTTGGCAGAAAATGAAGATATCGTCCATATATCCTCGACTAGAATCTACGAAGTTGACGGAGGCCACTAGTTTAGACGCAATCAGAAGTAGACATTTCACCTTACAGATTTTGATGGGTGACGTAAACCCTTTTTAGATGTAGGGACAACTGTGGATCAATGTTGGATTTCGGAACACTGTAATTCCCAAATTTTCCAAACAACTAATGCGGCTCTACAATTAGAAGGCTGCCGCTATCCTTAAAATGGGTAGATGTGTCATCTAAACCTTGTTATATGTAACGCCTCAAGGTTTAGAGGTCTTCGCGGACTTTCACCTCGTCAGGTCAATTAGTCGATACTGGCCAGTAAGAACAGAACAGTCTGATCGATGTCGCCGAGGTTGCCTGCCAACTGAACTTTTCCTTGGAGAACTCTACCTATCCTCAGGAACGTAGGTAGATGTTAATTTTCGGTATTCCATCAGCTTCACAGATTGTTTCACTCACATCAGACTTCTTTCTGCCAGTGACTTGGATGAATTAAAAGACATTCTAGCAGTTACCATATGCAGCTCGTTAGCGCATCACGACTTCTAAGCTTCTCGATCTTTAGGTAGACTCTGTACAATTTCCTTACGTAAGGTTCTATGTTTATCGTTGAACTCAAGGTGTAGTGAATGGAACACGGGTTACGACAATCGAATGTATTTAAGTACAAATTACAGACTATCTTACTAAATTCTGATACGAATACAGTAAACGCTGAATTTGCAAAATAACAATCAATTGTCTCAATCTTAACTGTTCCTTCTGCAAATATCAGTCCATCTTCTTTGATTTCATTATTCATGCATTTTCAAACCGATTGTGTTTCATTTCGGTTCTTTCCTTATCAATCTTCTAGTGAAATACATTCTATGTCTGACCATCATCATATACTACTTATATGGATATAAGTAACCCACATCACAACGGTAAACCGTCCTTTGGCTTTGAGGATTCCATGTGAGGGCTTGCCTTGTGATGCAGTTGGGTGGTTTCCTCACTGTGTATCCTATCCACTTCCATCGCTTCTTCCTGATTTTTTTCTCCGCTGAAATCTGGTTTGTTCTCTCCTACAGTGCATTGTTCTAGATAGTGTCTGGCCAACGGATCCTAGGTATTTTGCGTAAACAACTGTTAATAAACACTTGTATCTTCTAGACGATGGCTTTCGTAGTTCTCCAAGTTTCCGCCCCATACAGTAGAACTGTCTTTACATTTGTATTAAAAATTCTGATCTTGGTGTTGGTTGACAATTGTTTTGTGTTCCAGATGTTCTTCAGTTGTAAATATGCTGGTCTTGCTTTGCCGATTCGCTAGGTTCAAAAGGAATTGTTTGCTATATACATGCAAATCCGCTACGTTCTTGTCCTCTGTGAGCTGACAGCCATCCTTGGACCTAGTCCGGCGTGATACTTAGTTGCAACAGGAGCTGCAGTCAGTTTGGTTACATCGACCCGTTCAGGAAAATACATTTGTTAGCCATTGAAACTTAACATAAGATTGGCGCAGACAATGATAAGATTAAAGCCCAGATAGGTGCTCTAAAAGTAGCGGCAGTCTCCTACGCCAGCAGTAGCTGACCCTGATGTGACTAATCTGAGTCCATGCTTGACAGTCAGTGGAAGAACGCAAAGTAGTGCATTTGAAATTACTGACGTGCAACCAGCAAGTCTCAATAGATCACAAAAACGACTGGCTGGTACAATATTTGTGTTGGGTGGCAGTAACTTGAGACCGTTTAGAGAAGAAAATCTCCACCATAGATGAGCTTTTAAATTAATGGAAAAATAAAATGGGAACAAAAGGAAATAGACAGATAACGCAATCTAAAAAAGAATGAATGATACCGAATAGTTTTTAGTATAATTTATGGAAATAACGTTTGAAGTGAGTATACTTTTTCCCAGTTGTAGGCATTATTTGAGTTGTGTGAACTAGAATTCTGCCCAGACCGAAGCAGGTTGTTTTTTTAGGGGGCCTCTGATCTGGAGGTCTGATAAACAAGGCAGTGGAGCAACGTCAGGAGATGCAGTCCTATGGTAGCGAGTGACCAAAGTTAGGTTCATGCACCACTTGTTTCCTTAGCACCCTCGAGCCCGTGTGCACCATTATTTTAGAATCAAGGTTTTCCAATTCCCCTAGGTGGATTAGCTATACCACCAACTCGGCTTAGGCAAGAGACATTTCTTTTTCGTCTACCAAAACAGTTGTTCCATATGCAATAACCCCGCTGTGAGAGGACAGTAATTAGTTTTATGTTCTATGGCCTGTCAAATATCACTAATCACAATACCAGCATCTATGACTTTGTTCCTATGCTAAACCAGCACTAGCAGCCTTGAATAAACTCTGAGTCCTCATTGGTCCTTTGTATAGTAGCTACTTGTCTAGCCCAGAACGTTCAGTCCAGAACACATATCAGCCTCTGATATATAAAGCTTGTTTCAGACATACGCGGTTTATACACAAGCAGACCAAACCGCAACTCACTGTGAAGTACAGAATCTGAGTTGGAGAATCAATGCATTTGTGTCGCCGCAAGCGAATATGAAGTCTCACACTCAAATGCTCAGGTACAGTCAAAGGTCCGCTGCAACCCTGCAAGAAAACCACCAGACAGCATTTCAGCTCTCACAAAAATCGGATGACAAAGTGTGGAGCATACATAACCGGTGCCTCTTTGTACCAAGGTTGTGTTTAAATAAACAGCCAGTCGTCCTGCAGTTTTAGCTGACTTCACGAATCTCAGTACGTGTTAATCTTTATCTGCATAAGTTCTCTAAATATATATCTAATTCTTATTTTGTTTACATTTTATCTTTCAGAAACCCTCAAAGTGTGACTTGTGCATACACGGTAATTTAGAAACTGGTTGGCACATCCCTTATTATAAAGGGCACCACCAAAAATTCTACACTGCAGTCGATTCGTGGCTTTGTTTACATCGTTTAAAATAAATGTTTGCAGCAAAACATCCGTTTTTACAATTGATACTTTTAAAAAATTTCCAAGTGTAAATACATAACAACAGAAAATGTTCTGAAATCGTGTTCAAGTCATAAGTTTACATCAGAATTTTCCCTACTAATAGTTGGTCCGGTACGGTAGATTTCTTATTCTTTTTTATATAAGCACATAAATATTGGTACAAAGGAACACCAGATACATATGCGCCATACAAATCTTGTTTGATTTGTGTGAGGGCTGTGATACTGCCCGGGTGCCCTAACCGAAGCAGGTGGCTTTCGTAGGGGGCCACACCCGGAGCCTTTGACCTAAAGATCTGATCCACAAGGCAGTGGATCATCGTGAGTAGATGCAGTCCCTTGATAGTCGGTGACCGACGATTGATCTATACGCCATTTGTTCCTTCAGGATACTGGAGCCCATGTGCACCATTGGTTTGGAATCAGGGTTTGCCAACTCGCCTAGGTGGACTTTCTGTGTCCACCAACCCGGTCAAAGCGCCGGACATTCGCTTTTCGTTTTCTCAATTTCGTAAACAACACCGTCACCATAAGGCAGTGAGTGGGACTTCCCTGGCAGAGGCTAAATACGTGTGGCCATATGAGAGCATTTTGAGAGAAAGAGAGCGGACTATCACCGCTCTCGGCCGCACCAGGGCATTTCGGGGCACGGTACGTTGCTTTTTACACCTACTATACCTTTCTAAGTAATGGCTAACATGGATATGCATTAATGTGAGACGATATTTCGACTGTTACATTTGATCCAGTTCGATTCTGAATCGGTTTGTACCTTCCGATGTCCTTACAAAATGAAGTGTGGTAAATTAACGTGTTTAAACTATCTTTTGCACGTAACTAAATGTTGTTAGGTCTTGGTCAGCAATATTGCTTTGGATATTCTGCTTAATTCCTTCCCATTTTGTAAGACATAACTGATCATTCGCTTATATTTTGGTCATGTATTGTGTGTGCGATTAACCACCTACCTCAATTGATTGTTGTCTAGCATAGGAGTAGGTTTAAAGAAAGTTAGGCGTCAAAACCAATAAGATATTAATGCATAAAGTCATTAACAAGTTGACTGAGTCATGTTAATCAGTGTAGGCCTCCTAATTGTTGTGTTCTCGATAACTGCAATCGGTGGTTTGAGACTTAGTTCCCAATGACGCAGATGTATCTACTCGTAGTCTTTCGTTTTATCCTGAGTTTCTAAATGATATGTTTCTTTTCTCCACTAACCCACACCTCCAATTTTTCTATTACCACTAATAGTGATACCACCTTTGCTGCTTTGGGATTTGCGCTGACAATCTCATCTCGTGCCAATGGGATATGGCATATTAAACCAATGTGCACATGTATCAAGTTTTACTGACTACATTTGGTTAGCATTAGCAAAACACTAAGATTGTCGCAATTTGCGGCTCAATTTGTCGCCACTGGAACGCAGGTCAAGGGATTACATCGACCAACTTAAGTTTTTTTAACCAAAAAATTTAGAACATGTTACAAGATGTGACGAATGGCCACTTGGATTTGCTGTGTTAGGTATCTACCTTCCACCTTTCAATTGTCATGGATACAAAATCCCGCTCTAGTTTATCGACGATCAGGCTTTTATACGGAATACTTTTTATGAGTAATAGTCGGCATCCAGTTTTTCTAAAGCACTGAACGCAGTAGCATTTAACACGTTTCTCTTCTAGATGCTTGCTTCTGGACCAATGGCTGGTCTGACGTTAGAGTGTACTGCCTGTTTCACTTGTTCCAGAATTTCCACCAGTAGTGTTGGTTCAGACAGTGACGAAACCCAAGCACTCATAAAATGTGTTTCTTTGGCTATTGTCTATATAATTTGCTTGTGAAGCAGCAGTTCATTTGAGATATGATCTTTAAAAGTGGATGTATGAAATTGCTAATATTACATATTCATCGAAGCACTGCTTACATGTGATTGGAGCAGTATATGATCTGTGTTAAGGTAAAGTTTGATGAACGTGATGAGGATGTTAAATTGATGCGTGATTGAGACATGTCTAGCCACCCCCTACTTCTACCCTATCCTTGGTTGTTTAGAGCTAGGGTGTAAGTTAATCTATTTGCCTACAGTAAAAATAGTAACTCTTCCATTGTCGAAATTTTATTGGGTCACAAAGCTTATTATGAAAACATATCTTATTACAAGCATGTTAGTGTATACTAAACAGAATAAGTTAACCAGTAAACCAAAGTTTCGAAGCATAAAACGCGATTTTTATGGACATGTATTTTTCTCAGAGATAAAACTAAGCACAAATTTTTTACATAAAAATCAATTCTAACTGCCAATAGAGCATGAATAAGAAAAACAGCGTGAAGGAGTATATAGAAGATAGCAAAGGAAATAAATCGGGATATGCTACAGGAGGTGTGATCAATAGGTCACCGATAATCAAGCTACTATAGCCAATAAGGATAAGAAGGATGAGAGATATTGTGACATTATTACTCGTAGCACTATTTTGTAATTTCTTTTTCTCCGTAACATGTTTATCACCATTATTACTTTTAAGTATTATAAAACAGCCCAGGATGGTATGTATACATGTTAAACATAAACTAGCCAATTGTAGACCATCTTTTTTTAATAACGGCCACATACTAAGAGTAGAGCATAAGGAGAACAAAAATGACGATATGGGATAAAAAGGTAGCAGACACAAAGTAGGAATAGACACTAACAAAATTGATTTTTCATGAACTTGGAAGGAAAATAAGTAAAAATTTAGCGCACACAGGGCTAGAGAAACCAGAAATTTTTGTTTTTTAGACTTCTTTAATAAAACTAGACAAGATGGAAGGCATGTAATCAGTACGAGCTGAGCACTAACCCATACCAGTTTAGTAGACGATAGTGTTAAGGATGACATAGAAAGTGGTGAACGCCACTTTACTAGCGGTGATGTAGCACACCAAAAATTAGATACTTTGTCTTCGTAAATACCGCGATCAAACGGAAATAAACGTCGAACGACTTGAAATAAAAGACTCAAATCGGTTGTTAGTACAAACGGTGCAAATATCAAAAACATTGTCAAGAAAACGACAAAGCTCAGTTTAGCCAGATGTGTTAATCCCCCGTACACGGATTTCTTATAAATACATCTGCTTAATAAATAGAAAAAAATTGGCAACGCATGATATAGTTCCATTTGTTTATAACCTATGGCTAAACAAAATAATATAGAACCGAGCATATCCCATTCTAGGAGGAGGAAATTGATTCCGCTCAAATACAAACCAAGACTGATACAATTATACTGGAAGTGCCCATGGTCAATCAAAATAAGGCCAGGATAAGTTAATGTTAGGCATGCTGAATAAAATCCACCAATTTGTTGTGATTTATTACCTTTATTCATTATGCTGGGTAGAACATAGAAGAAATATAGTAATATGGACGGTATAAAAAACATTAAATCAGCTACCAATACAGTATAACGCATGAACAACTTATGCTCCTTAGATTCGAAACCTCTCGATGTGTACAACTGAACCCAATCACGGTCAATTTTAGAAGCTAGTTTACCCATCAACCAACTATGGTATGCCGTAAGAGGTGGATAATCTAACCCCCAATAATTCAAATCATTATGGGTTGAATTCATATACCATTCCGTGAAAGGTAAATTAACGGTGATTTCCATCCAATGACGTTGAGCTTCATAGTCACCATATATAGGTGGTTTATTTTCACCGGAATATGAATGTAAACTGGTAGATGAGCGCAAGGCAATTCCAATGAAAATAGGTAGACAAATTTTAACCAAGTTATCGATATTCGCATTTACCATGACTATTACGATTCGTTGTACTATAAAATTGGAGAGAGAAGAAAACCAAGTCGACCGGTTAATATCTAATGAGTAGTAAAACGCCGTTACTTAGTTATGAACATCTCAACATAAATGAGACACTACGAAAAATACTGAGAGCTCTTCGAGAGATATTTTGTATGAGTCATTAGTAACCGTCAACTTACCGCCAATAAAACAACGGCCGTTTCGCGTAATATAAATGTAAAACATTTAGTCCCTTTGACAAGATCACAGGATAGACAGATATCTTCCACCATAACGAAACATTTGGTTGAAAGTGGACATAAGGTTGACATCAAGCTAGCATTTGTAGTGTTGTACAAAAGCCTTGAATGACGTATACTGAGGTTTATCGAAGCCTTGGCTACGCGAAAATCGAAACCCCCTTTATGTGTTCAAAAACAATTCGTTCTTGCTCTTAACCTATCCTGGTTATGCTGATTTATTATCCAGAGTGGTCATCACATTGCTTTTGTGTACTTTATTTATTTACTCTCTTTGTTACGGCTTACCTTATCCTGTCTGGTTGACCTTTTAATTTTCATATTAACATATCTCAAGTATGTGTGATCAGATTGTTCTAAATGCATTGCTCGAATATATCACATAATTCTAGTAACATAAATGATAATATTAAGCATAGAAGACGATTTCAGTTGTTTATAGAGCTTACACCTTAGTTCGTTGTACCTTATAAAACCACAACAGTACTAGGTCTTCTAACGTTTCAGTATCGCTTTTACGAAATATGTATTTTCATCTTCAACGACGAATCACTAAAAACTTACTTAAACATGTGTACATGATCGCTGTCCATCGAGAACACTCTTCCTTTTATGTACGCTAAAGACGTAAACTTGATAATAGAGTGAAAGATGAGTTAATTTGAAACACTTTCTCAAGAGCATAGGATTTAGTACTAATAGTATAGGTTACCTATTCTAAGTTTATGATTCTTTATTCGCTTTACATAATGGCTTTTTAAGCTAACGAATACTAGTTGATAAACACAATATACTACGATTGGAAGATCTAAAAAGTCAAGAACAGTTTATTTACCCTTACACAAATTGACAGAATTGTAATATTAAAACAGCTGTTCCCATATTAACGTTTGTAGGAGAAACATGCTACGTTGAGCAGATAAATGTTATCCCATTGAAGGTACTAGCTAAATGTAGAAGCATGATATGAACGTATTTCTAGTAAAATTTAACACACAAAGTCACAAGTTATATGACTTGTTGTGATGCTAGATAATTTGTGAGTAAACTGAAGTCGGAGGTTAATGTTTCCGTTTCTGGATAGTTAAAGCAAACTGATTGAAAACACTAAGTGGGTTAGGAATAATTTTACACACATTCATTACTCCATTTCTCTTAAAAATGTTCACCACAGTGAGCGTAACGACAGCCCACACGAACAATTAACAATTTTAGAATCTCTATTAGTTGTACACAGATAATTTCGTATAGAAATTTATTTGTGTCCGAATATGGAAATGATATTTAGCTAGCGACTTAGTGAAGGGGACAACACATCCAAGGGATATTGGATTGCCACAAGAAGACACATTATAATTGCTAAAACACGTCAACTGGAATACTACTTTTCTTTACTGAGGACACGATGAAAAAAGCGTTAGTTCGTATGCAGCTTCGGGATCGTAATTCGTCTTTCCAATCGAGTCTAAAGAGACAGACCAAGAAATCAGTAGATAGAGGTTATGTTACATCTTGGGAACCAACTCACGACTATATAGAAAGAATACCTCTGTGGCAGGATTTAGGCTAGAATTTTCGTGATTACGATAGACATATACAAATATGATTACGAGAGACAGGTATTTACGTTTAGAAACACTTAACTCGTTACGTTTGGGCCGTATAATGCATTAGCATTACATGGAAGGATAACTTAAGCAATTGTTCGAAATAATAACCTTTTATTAATTCCGCACTCTAAAAAAGTCAGATCCTTTCAAAGTCACCCGCCTTTCAGTTCAAACGACCCTGACAAGAGGCGGTCACACCATATTTCAATTGCTGGGTTGCATGAACATCAGGTTTTCTCATATTTAAGTAGTCTTCTGGTACAGCGAAACCACAAAATCATTGAGAACAACATTTATATAGCTCTCTCTGTTTTGTAGTGCATAAGTTATTTCCTAGTCTATACACCTTTAGCAAGGTGACTCCGGGGATGTTTTTGGGCATAACTTGGTTGAGTAGTTGTTTTATCAACACTTATTCCCGCTGTCATATCAAAGAATCAGAGGCAACTTGATTACAGTTTTTAAATTGCTTAGTGGTAAGTTTGCACATGACATGCCCTCACTTTTCTTGTCTCCCAAAACAGAAAATCTACGAGGACACTGAAACTGAAGTTTCAGTTTGGAAAGGACAGGAGGCTTGATGGCCTGTGTTAGTCCTGGCAGTGATGGTCTCTCAGCTGATCCAACTTTCTTTTGAAGGAGTTGACGGATGGAGCCTCAACCACGTGCTGAGGTAATGAATTCCACTCGTTGATTATTCGATGGGAAAGTCGGTAGTCAGCTGACAAGTAATTCGTTCGGGGGTTGTGAACTTTTATGGAGTGTCCTCGTAGATTTTCTGTTTTGGGAGACAAGAAAAGTTAGGGCGTGTCATGTGCAAATTTACCACTAAGCAATTTAAAAACTGTAATCAATTTGCCTCTGATTCTTTGATATGACAGCGGGGATAGGTTTAGCTTGGTCAGTCTAGTATCATACGGGTGCTTCACTATTCCGGGAATCAGCTTCGTTGCCGTTCTCTGAACCCTTTCCAAGAGTTCACTGTCTTTTTTCAGGCAGTGACTAGCTGCTTGTATGCAGTACCAAGTTTAGGACGCACGAACAATGTATACAAAGTCAGAAAGGTTTTAGCGTTGAAATGACTAAAAGCCCTGCGTATGGACCATAAAGTTCTAAAACCTCTGGTGGCTATTGCACGTCAGTGTGCAGTAGTCTTTAAGTCTTGACTAACGATGACTCCTTAGTCATTGTGTGTCTGGACAATAGGTATCTTAGTGTTATTCATCTTGTATGTATCTGTACCCTGGTGGCCAATATGCATCACAATACACTTGGAAGTGTTTATCGGCAATTGCCAGGTTTGGGACCATTCAGATAATCTCTCCAGGTCATTTTGGAGTTCTAGGCTATCACCCTTACTTTGTATCACTCTCCATATCTTGACATCGTCAGCATAGGGCAAGATCGATGACGATAATAGACAAGGGAGGTTATTTACGTACAGAAGGAATAACACTGGCCCCAAAACTGTACCCTGTGGGACTCAATTAAGCACGGTTTCCCAGCTAAACAACTTGGAGTTCACTCGTACTCTTTGTTCACGCCCAACTAGTAAGTCTTTTATCCACATCAATAGATTGCCTCCAATCCCGACATTCCTTCGCTTATATAATAGCCGATTGTGCGGAACTTCGTCGAAAGCTTTGCTGAAGTCTATGTAAGCTACGTCTACAGATAACTTCTGGTCCTTAAGAGCGTACCAGCCTTCACGAGCGACTAATAAGTTAGTGGGGCAAAAGTAATCTGTTCTAAAACCATGCTGCTTCTCCGAGAGGATCCGGTTTTCATCGAAATACTTAAACAGCTCCTTCCGAATAATCTTTTCTAAGATTTTAACAACCACACTGGTTAAGCTAATGGATCGATAATTCTCAGGCTTATTTTTGTACCTGTTTTGAAGACAGTGTAGTGCCGTGCTTCGATAATAGTTCACTTCGATAACCGTTATTATACAAATCTTAACGGTGGATAAAATCAGAAGGCATAAGGAAGCGGCAACTACATTTTTATTGATAAATGATGCAGACCAGAAAGTTGTAAGCACATGAGCAAATGTAAGCGAGTGAAGCAAAGATGATGCGTAGTGGAGATGGCTGGGAAGCCAACTCGATTTAAGCAAGCGTTAATCAATATTTATAGTCGGACAAAAATGAATGACAGACATGTGATAGGTAGGATAAGAAGGGTACATACACATACGCTCATATAACAAGGTAGTCAAGGTTAGTAAACGAATAATTAACAAGATCAAAATATGACTCATAATGGATAGGCGAATTGGCTTGGCCAGCAACTAGAATAAAGTATATGGGCTTAACATATACACCGATACTACAACAGGACTTGCTATGGCGTTCTTCCAGTCTTTTGGTAGACGACCCTGGGTTACGAATATATTAAAACATATACTTAAAGGGTTCACAACAAAGTTAGCTAATTCCTTTAGTAACCTAGGTTGCAGTTCATCGGCTCCCGTGGGTTTGCCTATGTCAAGCTTAATTAGCAGACCAAAGACATAGAGTTCTTTAATGGTCACACTGTCCAGTGTTTGTGTGGGGGGATTTTCATGAACTGGTGAGAAGGGTGTTTCTATGGTATACACATTGCTAAAGTATTTTGAGAATACTTGAGTTTTGCCAAAGTCGTCCTCCACTAGTGATGAGGCATTACTGTCTCCTCATAGTGAGGGAACATTTCTTCTTTTTGTCTTTTGGTTTATATACGAATACAAACGTTTAGGGCATTCTATGAATTCCTTAACGACTTCCTCTTCGTACAGCTTTATGGACTTACAGAGGGTTGAGGCACAGGTATTTCGAGCCTTTTGATACTGATATTTGCCTCATCAATCCCCAGTAACCTAAGTCTACCCACATTTTCCTTCTTTTAAGGAGAAGGATGCAAACCTCCCTACTGAGCCATGGTGGGGAGTTTTTCGGCCCCCTAAGTGTAGTCCAAGGGACGTGGGAGCGGTAACTTTTAAACATGAATTCCGGAATACGTCCCAAGCTGTTTCGATTAAGGACTCTGGGTCTATTGTTCAATCTACTTATGATGCTGAGTGGATGATGTCCTGTATGTTTGTCTCCCAGACGTTAGTTCTGAAATGAGCTGACGCGTGCTCGTGATTAACAGTTATATGGAAGTCAAAGGTTAAAACTGCATGATCACTTTTACCTAGGGGTGTCACGTAATCGAGGTTCTCAACGTCATCCACATAGTGAGTCGATGTAAGATCTAGTAAGGACGATTCAGACCCCGGGTCGCACCTAATCGCTTATTTCACATGTTGCACATGTGATAACAGCACCAATTAGTTTCTGCTCAAAGGAATTATCTGACGATTCAGTTCGCAGGTTTTCCCAGTCTACTATGGGTGTGTTAAAGCCCCCAGGATTAGACATCAACCACTTTATCACCAAGTATTGAGACTACTTAACAGAACCTCATTTACCTTACAGCTTGGACTGCGATAGACCAAGCCAATCAGCAGCTCTTGTCCCTTGCATTTCAAGCGGCAGCTAACTAATTCATACGCCCCACTCTCATGGGATGCACAGTCGATAATGGTGAATGGAATAGCATTCCCAATGAATAGAGCTACTCCCTCCTCCTTTACGCTTTTGTATTCTATCGGCCCTTACTAATCAAAAACCCTGAAAATCAAGTTCCCTACTATCTATAAACTGCGTCAGCCAAGTTTCTATGACTGCGATTATGTCTGGCTTAGTAGAGTCAATCTGTACACCTAGTTCCGATCGCTTATTTAGCAAGGTCTTTTTCGCCAGCGTCTAATCTGAGCTGTAGTCCTTTTTCGGCTTCCCGTCTTTTTACACTGTCCGCCAGTGGTAAGTCCTTACGGAGAAAAACTTCCGAACCCTTTAATTTGTGTCCATTTTGTAAGATTAGGTCGCGTTCGTTTGGGGATTTGAAAACTACTTTGAGCAGTCTGGACTAATTAGACTTCAAATTCGCCAGGCTACCTAGTCTATACACATTTAGCAAGGTGACTCCGGAGATGGTTTCGTGCATAACTTGGTTGAGTAGCTGTTTTATCAACACAATGTCATGCTCAAAACGAGCTTTCGGATCTGAGCTTTCACTCTCCTTGATTCTATGGAAAATGACTGGTCTGTCGCTGCGACCAGACTTTGGCTTCTCGACTACTTTGGTGGGGGTAGGGTTCCGTTTTACGTCGTTTTGTCGTTTTTTGCTTACCATCTGTACCCAATCGTCGACGTTGTTTGGACTAGTGACCACAGTCACGTCAGGCGTTCTATGGGATTCCGGAGGGTTGAGAACGATTTGGGAGGTTGGGCCTTCTTTCGCGCTTGAAAGAAACCGAGCCTTGCGTTTCCGGCTTCCGGAATTTCCTTTCTGGGTACCATTTTGGATACGGGAGACAGAAGAGACTTTTTCTAGAGTTTCTAGTTGGGACAGACTTCTTTTGAGGCTGTACTTCCTCCTTTGGACAATATGGGACAGCAGGTTTTGTACTCACTTGTGCTTGCCTCACATCAATCTGCGTGTCAACAGATCGAGTTCTGACCGACGTGTCCCGACCGCGCTTGCCGAAACACTTTTTCGCAGCATTGATCTTTGAGATGGTCTCGGTCAACAGGCTATTTGCTTTCAGACAGCACTGTTGACATAGCCATATGCAGCCATGTTTACTAAACCGTTTGAAAGCCGCAGGCGTCAGATTCGTGCAAACTTCGTGGTACCAGCCTTTGCACTCGTCGCACTGCATACCGCTGTCAACAGGATATCGACAGCCTGGACGCTGACAAATGCTTTTATTGCACCTTCCAGTCATTTGAGGAGGAAAAAGTGATATTTGACCAAAGGGTAGAAAAACTGTAAATAATTAGGACCAAAGTACCAACAGACACAATAGAAAAAAAACAAGGTACTCTAGAGTACCGACGATAAAACTATTTTAGAAACCAAAAACGATACTCTAATCGAATACTTTAAGTGAAAGAAATTCAACCAAAGTATAAACAGTAGTCTTGATACGTTAATAACAATCAAAACAATATAATTTACTCAACGACGAAAAATACCAATGTCCTTTTCAAGTAGCGCGCGATGGTTCAGGGGCCGGTTGTTGTTACGTAACTTGCCAATCTCCCCATTTTGGGGAAACTTTTGTCCGGTTTGGGTAGATGTTGAGGTTGATTTCGGTTGGAGC